GTAGTTATTTATGGTGCGTTCATGGATTGGAAGAAAATTAGATTTTTGGAGTTTTAGCCTACATAATAATTATTTGTTAAACTTAAATCAAGCAGAAAAGAAACCTAAATATAGCAAAACCGTAGGTAAAAGCAAAAATAAGAATAACTGGCTAAATGCTAATGCTAACTAATTCAAACCTACTTTTGACAAAACTGGTAGCTAAAAGCTAAATGTAGTGAAAACAGTAGCAAAAGCTAAAATGATCAAAACTGTAGCTAAAACTCCTCAAATTTATTTATAAAGCACTTTTAAAACAGCAGCTGTTACCAAAGTGATTAACAATAAGCTCAGGGCAGTAATTAAAGAAAAAAGTAGTTCAAAGCTTCAGAAGTTCAAAACATAAAAACACAAAAACAATAAAATACTGAATCAAATCACACTGTTAAACATCAGAGAAAACAGGTGAGTTGTTAGGAGCTTTAAAAACAGGAGGTGAAGGGGCCTGTCTAATGCTTGGAGCAGATTGTTCCAGAGACCCACAACTGAAAAGGTCCGATCTCTGAGCTTCAACCAAAAGCAGCTGATCTCAACAGCTGAGAAGAAACAGGTTGAAGTCGCTCAGAGAGGAACGAGGGTGCAAGGCCGCTTCAACAGGATCCTTTTAAAATCTGCTGTGATTCGTACAAGGAGCCAGTGAAGGGAGGACAAAACTGGTGCCGTATGATCAAACTCCTGTTAAGAGCCAAATGAACCTAAATAGTTGCCAAAAAACTGAAAATGGTAAACAGTAGCTAAAAGCTAATTGCTACGCAAGAAGACAAAAATGGAGCAAGTTTGTTGAAGCAGATTTCCAAGAATGTTTTCAAAGAAACTGAAGAGGAGCTATGAATATTACAGTCACTAAAAGTCTCAGCGCACTATTAATAAAGTAGAAATTTTTATTACTTATTTATATTGATGGATGAATCTGCGCAGACTGTTAAAATCTGTTTTTTGCTGGTGTAGGAGGGCGGCTCTGCTGCCGTACAGAAACTGTGTTTTAGTTTTTACGTCTACGAGCAACGTGTTGGTAATCTGAGGAAGAGGAGCGATGGAAGCTTCATCTTCACTAATAATCCTGCTGCTGCCCACAAGAGGAGACACGAGCAAATCCGTGACTTTAAATCTGTTTACATGGACACTCCGGGACTCCACTTCCTGTAGAGGACAAGAAGCCAAAGTCCCCATTATGTAAATCACTTCACTTTAGTTGCAGCTTCAAATCAAATTTCAGTTTTAGGTCGAGGATGGCTAAAAGTTGAGCTGCTTACCTGCTGCTTTGAGCAGCTATAAAAATAAACAACTGCAGCCTTTGGGAAAGACTTGAAAGCAGCGGACGACAAATATAAACTGCAATAATGTTAAACTTTGTCTCAATATAGTTATTAGAGATGCAGTAACATGTATCAAGCTAAATTTTAGTGTGGTAGTAGCTGAGGGTCATCTCCGACACAGACTGAGTATTTTAAGGTTGGACCAAAAATAGCTACAACCTCCATCGTGCGGGTGACATGCATTCCTTCAAGGACTGCTGGGATTTTAACTCCTTTAGCTCTAGTTTTGATTGGAGATCACAGCAGCTTTAGCTGTGCAGCAAAAAGCCAAAAAAATGTCCACAACTGAGCAGGAAGTAGACAGATTGGCCGCAGAACTGGTCGGTGTCTTCCATCCATCCATCATCTTTACCCGCTTCTTCCATTTTGGGTCACGGGGGTCGCCGGTGCCCATGTCCAGCCATCACTGTGGGAGGGGCGGGGGACACCCTGGACAGGTCTCCAGTCCATCACAGGGACACACAGAGACAAATATTCATTCTCACTCTCTCCTAGGGACAATTTAGAGTTACCAATCAGCCTAACATGCATGTTTTTGGTCTGTGGGAGGAAACTGGAGCACCCGGAGAAAACCCACGCATGCACGGAGAGAACATGTAGACTCCACCCAGAAAGGCCCCCGGACTGGGATTTGAACCGGGGACCTGCTCGCTGAGAGGCAGCAGCTCTACCAGTTGAGCTGAGTTAAGGCAAAGAAAATATATGTTTTAAGAGGGTTTTTGGCAGCACGGTGGCTGCCGGGACCGACTTCCTGTTTGAAAACAACGTCCCTTTGGTTTTAGCAGCATTTAGCACCAGTTTGAGGCGGAACAAATCTGACTGGATGATGTGATGGCTAATGGAAATATGGTAAACCTGAAGTTACCCCCCCCCCCTCTACAGAGCGAGGGGGTGTGTGACATGTTGGGGTCATCTGGATTGAGGGTCACGGTTCCTCCGTCTCGTGTATCTCAGGATAAACTCGGTGAAATGAGCCTAAACTGTGTGTGTCTGTAAGCTGATTTGGGGGGGGGGGGGGGGGGTAATTACAGGATTTTCTACAACACAAGTGTGAAGTGTAATGGCAGCCGGCCGCTGCGGCACCGTGCCAACGTCAGACCGGAGTTAATAGAAGTGATAAAGAAGCAGCCAGCTGGCAGGAAGAAAGTCCTGTCGGTGGGGGGGGGGACTCATGTTCTCTTTAAAATCTTTCCAGGATCACCCCAAGGTGTTTCCAGGGAGTTCCAGTCCAGTTGCAGAGAGCTCAAACAGTACAGGTTCAGTTGTCGGTACTAAACCGTTAAAGGTTCGTCTCTGAAGATAAACCGAACGTTTCGTTTCATCTGAAAACAACTTGGATCAGCTGATCGTTGACTCCACAGGTACGGTCGTGTCATCGGTCAGAGTTTCAGAGGGACAGTTGAAAGTTACGTCTTTTTCTTTGTCGCTGTCTTCATGACTGTTGTCTTTGTCGTCTTCATTTGCTCCGTCTTCTTGTTCGTCTTCTTGATGATCTTTGTATTTTGTGTATTTTTCATCATCACTCTTCTTTGTCATCGTCTTCTTCTTTATCGTGTCCATCTTCCATGTCTTTTTCATAGTTCTCTTCTTTGTCGTCTTCCTCTTCATCATCTTCCTTGCCAGGATCTTTTTTGTTGTCTTTTACAGTCATCGTCTTCGTGGTCTTTTGTTGTTTTCTTCTTTTAAGTCATTTTTCGTTGTCTCTTTTGTTTGCTTCCTTGTCTTCTGTTTTGTCGTCTTTTTCTTCGTTGTCTTCATTGTCCTCGTTTTCTTTCCTTCCTCGTAGTCGTCATCTTTTTCATTGTTTTCTTTTTGGTTTGTTGTCTTTTTCTCGTCTCCTTCATAGTCATCTTCTTTGTCATTGTCTTTTTTGTTGTCTTTGTTTTATTTCATTTTTTTCTCGTTATTGTCTTTGGCTTTATAGTTGTCTTCCACTTTGTTACCTTCGTAATCCTCGTCGTCTTTCTCATAATCGTCTTTGTCACAGGTTTTTGGTTTGTTGTCGTCTTCATCATTGTCTTTTTGTTGTCTCCTTCATAGTCAACTTGGACGCAGTCGTCTACTTTTTCAGTCTTCTTTGTTGTAGTCTTCTTTTTTTGTTATCTTTGTAATCATCATCTTTTTCGTTGGTTTTCGGCTCATTGTCTTTGTTTATAGTTGTCTTTACCTTCTTCGTTCTCTTTGGCTTCTTGTCGTCTTCCTCCACGTTGTTGTCTTTTTGTTGTTGTTTTTGTCCTCTTGGACCTAAAGGACAATTGTCGTCCTAAGTTAAAGTACTGACTGTAAATCTGTATTTGGTGGAAAGTCTGATGAAAAGGGAGAGAGAGTGCATGAAATGTGTCAGTTTGGGAACTTAAAGTCGTTTTTCCTCTCATTAAACCTTCAGCGTCGCTCACAAATGTTACTTTAAAATATTTGATCAATTGATGAATAAACTAAAACCTACAGTTCATGCTACACAAAATAATTCAAAGAAAACAGACTAAAGATAAAAAGTGACAGAGAATTGTTTGGTTTATGTTGTCAAAGTTTTAAAGATCAGCTGTTCAACCTGTCAAAGTTTTTGTACGACTTCCATTCTTCTTGTATGACATCATTCGAATCAGGAAAACGTAGTAAACAGTTTTATTTGTTTTAGAAGGAGCACATCCGTTCCCCACACAGGGCTGGGTGCTGGCGTTTCTTTCATACGACGTACGTCGAGTTATGTTAAGTACTTTCTGGGTTTTATGGTCTTTGGGAGTTTGTATTGGTTCTGTTGTCTTCTTGGCCAGGACTCCCTTGAAAAAGAGACCTTTTGGTTTGACCAGGTCTCACCCGGTTCAGTAAATATTAAAGTTGACATCTACTGATCGATGAGGTCGTTCTGATGGCGCTGAATACAGATTTAAACTCAATTTGCACTGAAAATGTTTTCCCAGACTACTTTCAGAGGTGGTCTTGGCCTCAGTGATGAGAACTTTATTGACCCCGCAGAAAGTTGTTATGAGAACAAGTGTGATGGTTTGATCCCAGTCCACCCAGAGCCGAGCTGTAGGACCTACTGGACTAAGGTGACCCCACACAAGCAGCAGAGTGGACTTCTTGTTTCTTCGGCTAAATGTTTTCATTGACCTGTATTAAAATCCTTCTCAGTATTGTTGTGTGCATGTTAATATTCAAAGTGTCCGGAGAGGATGTTGTTTGGTTTTTATCTTTGGCAGGAATCAGAAAAACCTTCCGTCCATCTGTCGTGTGAGCATGAGAACTTTAATGGAAACCAACCACCCCGATCATTTCAGGAAATATGCTTTCCAGTTTTTATACTTCTTAAAAATATAGTTTCCTTAAAGATTGGGGTGGCCAAAGATTAATTTATGGGGGTCAAGGCCGCCATTGCACCTGGTGGTGGATCATTTTCTCCTCCCGTTCACCAGGATCCATCACTGTCGCTTGTTTGACTGGTTTTGGACCGGCTGTGGTCACTGTAAGCTGCAACGTGCCGTCCACCAGCGAACCGTCTGAACAACCTCATTAAACACAGAACTGATGGTTCTGATGGCTCTGATGGTTCTGATGGTTCTGGTGGTTCTGGTGATTCTGGTGGTTCTGATGGTTCTGATGGTTCTGATGGCTCTGGTGGTTCTGATGGTTCTGATGGCTCCGATGGCTCTGATGGTTCCGGTGGTTCTGATGGCTCTGATGGTTCTGGCTCTGATGGCTCTGATGGTTCTGGTGGTTCTGATGGTTCTGATGGTTCTGATGGCTCTGATGGCTCTGGTGGTTCTGATGGTTCTGATGGCTCCGATGGCTCCGATGGTTCTGATGGCTCCGATGGTTCTGGTGGTTCTGATGGTTCTGATGGTTCTGGTGGTTCTGATGGTTCTGGTGGTTCTGATGGTTCTGATGGTTCTGATGGTTCTGATGGTTCGAATGGCTCTGGTGGTTCTGATGGTTCGAATGGCTCTGATGGCTCTGATGGTTCTGATGGCTCTGGTGGTTCTGATGGTTCTGATGGTTCTGATGGTTGCAGAACATGTCGGGCTTCAGTTTCCCACCAGAGGAGACTCGTAACGGATCTGAACCAACGTCACGAGTCGAGCCAGGTCTGTTTTTGGAGAATCTACCACACGTCCCTCATTATTAAAGTGGTTTCTTTCTCTCCAGGAGGGGTTGGTAGTCCAACGCCCTCCAGCAGGACGGAGCAGTCCAGTTTCCAACACGTGGAACAGTTGAACCTGCTTCCTGTCAGCTTCACGTGCTCCGTCTGACAAACTTCTGTTTGTTTGAATTACAGCGGCTCTCGACCCTCCTCCTTCACACATGGTTTGATTGACAGGACTAAAGATAATAGTGGGCCAGGCGGGGTCCCGGGGCCAACAGGGGCCACCTGACCCACATGACGGTGGGGTGGGGGGTGTCCTTCAGGGTTTGTGGTAGTATCTGACAGGCTTCCCCTCTCAGATCAGAAAACACAAAGCAGCAGCAGTCTAGTATTGTTTTTATTGTCTCTGGCTGGGGGGGAGGCAGACGGGGGAGGAGCAGGGTCAACAATAGGGGTTGGAGTGTGTGTGTGTGTGTGTGTGTGTGTGTGTGTGTGGGGGGGGCAGATCTTCTTTTCTCTCTCAACACTCTGGATAAAACATTCTTTTAGTTTATGCCATCCTGAACAGAAAACTTCCAACACAGAGGAATTGTGGGTAATCCTCCGACTCGAGGACGAGCTGGACGCTGGTTTGGTCTCTGAACTTAAAATCACACACACACACACACACACACACACACACACACACACACACACAC